GAACTGTTGGCAATTATTGCAGGGTACCCCGTGTCATGTATTTGACATTTTCGAATTTCAATGTATGATTGGCCGCTAATATGAAATCCGTTAAATGGAGTGTGATGGATTATGGAATCGGTGATCGTTAAAAAGGATCCTAAATTACAGAGAACTAGAGTGGCTTCGAGGTCGTGTACATGGAGATTTGTCGCGTTAACAAAGCTATTACGAGTAACATATAATCCGGGAATTTTTCCTGACTCAATAATGGTAACATGACTGAGAGAAACATCTCCACTGTCTGATATCGTAAGAGTTCCATTAAATGTTTGCGCTGGGTTTTTAACGGTGCAATTATCAAACGAAACTGACTCAACTGATTCAACTAGAACTGCTGAATCAAATTCAATGCTTGATAAAAAAACTTTGGGCGATTTTATTTTGAATAACTTTGAGGTAATTACAGTATTACAATTGGATGTAATTTTGCATGAAGTTGTAATATGATATTCATCTTCAGTTTCCAATTTAGGGACAGTAATTGTAATTTCTCCCGTATCTTCGTTTTTCTCTGAGTTTGTATCGTTTAATATTGAAAGAAAATCAATTTCGCTCATAATTTTTTTGAATAATCTGACCATTTACCGTTTTGAATTATATTCAATTTTTATTTCCTCTTTTTATGAACATTCTTTATTCAATATCATTCAGTTTTTAATCATCGATAGTCAAATAAGAATTGTTCACAGAAAGAATACCAATCGGTAATATGATAAAAAAAAAAAAAAAAATTTCAAAATTTAAATATCAGAATTTCAATTTTTTTTATTAAAAACAATAAAAACTCGTTAGTGACCACCATTAACATCTTCATGAAAGAAAAGTTGAAGCTTTCTATTTTCAAAAAAAAAAAAAAAAAAAAAATATTAGTTATTGGCGCTTAATTCCTCATAAAAACGATTTGTTTAATATTTCTTTGAGAGATTTGTTATTGATCACTACAAAAAATCCAATAAAGAATAGAATCAAAATAGTGAAAGCAAAACTTTCAAAAAATGTCTTTTTTTTTGGCCTCTATGAAATCTTTCATGATCTGATATCATCACGATACAAGAAAGGACCATTTTCTCTTGTTCTAATGCACAACAATAAACATGCAAAACTGTAGAAATATTTATCTAAATGCTATCGAGGCCTTCAAGGCCGATGTCTTTCAATGTGACACTCAATTTGATTGGCGGTTTTGGTTGGGCTCTCAATTTAGCACTCAAAAAAGCGCATGAAGATGTTTCAAACACGCTCGGATCATAACTGCTCTTTTTTGGCACTTTTTCCTGTTTTTTGACAGAATTCTTTTTTGCTTTTTTACGAATATTTGATTTTTTTGTTACACTTTTCGTGGGACTATTTGGTCTGTACTCTTGTCCGTCTTTTGTATCGTATGAATCGAGTCCTTCGAGTCCGATGTCTTCAAGCTTTACATTTAATTTGATTGGCGGAATGAAATCTGGTCTGATCTCGTCTCTTGGCGAATGATGGGAAGTATAAAAGATTTGTGGATCATAAGTGTTAATTTCCTTTTCTTTCTTCTTCTTTTTTTCCCATTCTTCTTGAATTTTTTTCATTCTCATTTTTTCATTCAATTTTTCAATGTCCTCTGAATTTTCAGTTTTTACTTTTTTGTACGTTTTTGTTATTGGTGGAGACTGCGGCTCTTTTTCTTTTGTGGTTTCTGGCTTGTATGAATCAAGACCTTCCAGTCCGATGTCTTCCAATTTGACATTTAATTTGATTGGCGGAATGAAATCTGGTCTAATCTCATCTCTTGGCGAATAATGGGAAGTGTAAAAAATTTTAGGATCATAAGTATTGATTTGTTTTTCTACTCTCTTTTTTTGGTCCCAATCTTCTTGAATTCTTTTCATTCTTCTTTGTTCATTCAATTTTTCAATGTCTTCTGAATTTTTTTTTGTTTTTTCTTTTATTTTCGTTTTCGGCGGACTTTGTGGCTCAATTTCTTTGGTAGTTTCTGATTTGTATGAATCGAGACCTTCTAGACCAATGTCTTTCAAAGTTACAACTAGTTTGATCGGCTCTGCATTTGCAGGATTGAAGCGACCACCTCGAGGTTCAAATTGAGAAACATTAAATATGTTTGGATCATAAGTGCTTAAATGCTTTAACCAGGTTGATTTTCTTTTGTTGCCTGTTTTGATCTCAGAATTATTATACTCTTTATTTTTTTTAGTATGAGAAATTTTCATTTGATTTTCAGCATTATGCTCTTGTTTTGACTTGAATAATGACTCTTGAAGTGTTTCTTTAGACTTTGTCATCGTATTTTTTTATTATTTTATCCTTTTTATTTTTTTGAATAAAACTAACGTGCATGCTTCATAAATGTCATAGAAAATATTGCGAACTAAACGGGATTTTATTCAAAGCTTAAATGCTTAAATATCTCAATTAAAATAAGCCAAAAGTCAAAATATAAAAAGTAAAATAACATTTTTAAAATATTTCTAATGAAATATTTACTTTTAAACCGTTCCTGACAAAATAAAAAAAAAAGTTAAAGATTTAGGAAAACTATTATATGAATAAAATAAATTCTTTTTAACCAAGATAAAGAGAATCTTTTCAGAAATGATTTTTTGAGCCTTTATCCTTTAATCCAGATCATATGTTTATCAAAATATTTTTAATTAAGGTTTTAACACTATATTTTAATTGAGGTATAATTTCTATATTTTTCTAGATATTTTTTTCTATTTAACAATATGTTAATTCAGTCTTTGATTATAAACTTTGAATGCCAATTAATCAGATCCTAAAGAAATTTTCAAATAGTATATAATATTTATTTGATTATTAATGCTTGTTTATTAGGTAATATAAAATAAAAAGTAGGTATTTTTTTATTGCAATAATCTTTTAAACTGGAAGAATTACTGCAAATAGCTCGAGAGACAAATTGACCTATTCGATTGGTAATTCGCCTAAATTATAGCATTTTTTAAAAATGATAGTATCTTTTTTTTTACATTTAAAATTATTATAATAAATGTAAATTATAATAATTATTAGTTTTCAAGTAAACAAATTACACTTGGATCAAAATTACTGTATCTTCAAGCATTTAATAATTCCTGAATTTATATTTTTTATCATCTATAATAATATAATGAAAGTCCTTTATTTTAAGTTATTTTTTCTTTGATTACAAAGAATTCAAAATGATTATGGTGATTGTGATGTTCAAAACAAGGAAATATTTCAATGATTTCAAACCGATAAAATGAGATGTTATTCAATATTCAATACATATTCAATATTCAATAAATTTTATTTTGAATAATAATTCAAATTAGATATAAAAAAAATTTTGTTCTAAAGTTCAAAAATTATAAGTGTAATAACAAAGGTGCATTTATTATTAAAAAAAGTTTTATTTTCAATTTTTTATGAAGTCGATAAATTATTCAAAAAATTGATTATTCAGAAATATTTAGAAACGATATTTTCATATCAAAAAAGATTATATTTTATCTCATTTTTTTTTGAAGCATTATGTCTTTAATCAACATAAAAGAAGCCCCACGCAAAAACGAACCAATAGGTGAGCTTGAAGGGCAAAAATACTACAATGCATCATATTCATGCTTTCCAAAGGTTGAACTTAATTTCAAAGATACTAACTATTCACGTGAAAGATCAGTCGCTATCAACTGCAATTCAAAGGACGGTGTCAAACCAATGACAAAAGAAGAACAAGATTTCGAAAGAAAATTAAATTGGGAACTCGTTAAAAGATTTACAATGGCAATCTTCAAAATGGATATTACTCACTTCAGTTTCCCTGTTGGTTACAATGAACCACGTACTTTTGTTGAACGTGCTACTGATCTTTTCTCATTCTTAGTTACAGAATATATTGACAAAGCTCTCGAACAAACAGATCCAAAGGATCGACTTGGATATTTAGCTGCAGGAATTATCGCAGGATTCCATCTTTACTTGCAACAAAAGAAACCATGGAACCCATTGTTGGGTGAAACATATGTTGGCGAATGGCCAAATGGTACAAGAATGTATGCAGAACAGACATGCCACCACCCTCCAGTTTCAGATATGCAAATTATTCCTGCTCATGGAGATTGGAGAATTGATGCACAATTCAACTTTGCAATTGATGCAGGCGCAATCAGAACAGATATTCTTCAACACGGTCTTACAAAACTTATCTTGAAAGATGGCACAGTATTTGAATGGGAATTCCCTAATATGGCTGTTACTGGTATCTTAACTGGTGATCGCATTATTCGTATTCTTGGTCCATTCAAAATGTATGATAAAACCAATAATCTTGAGCTTTATCTTACAGTAAACCCATCATTTTTTGAAGATAAGAAATTCAAATCCCAGGAAACGGCTCTAATGAAAATGACTCCAGAAGAAGTTGAAGCCAAAATTAGGAAACAAGAAGAAACAGAAGAAGGTGAAGAAAACAAAGATACAACAACTCCTCAAGAAGAAGTTAAATATAAGGTTACTTCTGTTCAGGGAGGAATTAGAACCACAGGAACTGAGAAGTTTGTCCAAATCGTTCACGGAGATTATTGCAAGAAAGTATGTATCAATGATAAGAAAGTTTGGGATATCAAAAAGGATCTTACATTACGTCCTTCAAATCCAATCCCTGATGAGGATCTTCTTCCATCTGATTGCAGATTCAGAATTGACCGTGGTATGTTAATTCAAGGCAAGATGGAAGAAGCAGATAAAGCAAAGCAGCTTATTGAAGAACTTCAACGTCACGATTATAGACTTCGTGAGAGTATTCCTCCTCCAAAATAGATAATGTATTAAAAATATCCTTTTTTATTTTAAAATCATATCATAATGTAATTTATTTTTTAAATCAAATCCTAAAACTATTATCAATAAAAAAAAGATATAACCCAAAAAAATATTATCTACAATTAACATATTTTTAGTATTTCCAATATTAATGGAAAGCTCCCGTAGTGTAATGGAATCTGAAAAGATTTAAGCATATGCGCCTTCTAAGCGTTTGGAGTGGGTTCGAATCCCATCGGGGGTATTTTTTTGATTTTTTCCCCCATTCCTATTAGATACAAATTGATCTAATAAAAAAATGGTTAAAAAAACTTCTATATATATATATATATAAAAGCAATATTATTGAAAGAAATTTTAAATAATCCAAAAGGAACTTTTTGAGAAGTGTTTTTTTGAAATTTCATAATAATTTTGGCATTATTCACTCACAAAATAAGTATTCAATCTAATCAGTTGACGATTAACAATCGTAGAATAAAATGCCGTATCATTTTAATATAAAATGCTTGTTTTTTTAAGAATGTTTTCCATTTTCACAAATTTCCCAAATTTTCAATGCAAACAAAGATTTTATGAAAAATTTTAAAAATTTTTAGTTAAGAAATTTTTATATCAAATCAAAAATGATATCATTTATTAATTATGCAAATCTTTGTTAAAACAATCACAGGAAAGTATTTGATTATTGAAGTTAATGAAACAGATAGCATTGAAGAAGTTAAATCAAAAATAGAATTCAAAGAAGGAACCCCAACAAATGAACAACGTTTAATTTTTGCAGGTAAACAATTATGCAACAATAACATGGTGTATGATTATTCAATTCAAAGAAATTCAACATTATACTTGGTTCTTTCATTAAAAGGTGGCAATTAAATTCTTATTTTTCTGTAAAAAAAATGTGATTTATTAACGTTTTATAAATTATTTTAGACTATCTGGCAACATAAAATCTCTTTTTATTTTTTCTTAATATTTTATATATAGATAAAGCATACATCAAATAATAATATGCTAAATATATGAACGTTTTTTATTGGTATATTTTGCAAAAAAGTGGATTTATATTGACCATTTTTTTCACCTGATTGGTGAATTATGATCGTTAATTTAACGGTTTAATTCAAAAAGTGGAACTTTAAAAAGTAAACTGCCTGACATTTTCATTTATTTTATTATTTTTTATTTTTATTAACGTTTGGTCTTACTATTTTCCTTACATATTTACTCAACATCATATTTAAATTAGGCTTTTTGTTTTTAGTTGTATCTTGTTGATTTGGAACTTCTTTTATTTGTTGTTTCCTTTGATTTTCTTCATTTAAAACAGAGAGAATTTTTTTATCAGTAATAGGTTGAAAAGATTCTTTTGTTAGAACTCCCCAAACTTCTGTATTTTCTTTCATATAATTTCTGTTCTGTTTTTCAAAGTCATCATTTGTATCATTACTGCTTGCACGGCTAATCATCTGCTTTCTACGGCAATTTAGAATGCTATAAATATCTATATTGATTTTATCAATTTCAAGCTCCTTTTCTTCAATTTTTTTAAAGCAAATGAGCAATTCAGTTTCAGCTTCATTCAAAAGATTATTCTTTGATTCAATATTGTCATTTTCATTTATTGTCTTCAAATCATTTTGCAGTTCATTTATTTTTTCTGTTAATTCGTGTGCTTTTTTTAATAATTCTTCTTTTTCTTTTGTCAGTTCCATTTCTTTATCTTTCAGTTCTCTTTCAGTTGCAAAAATACCATCAATGATTTTTTCTTGCTCTTCACTATTTAATTGCAAATCAGGAATCTTTGTTAATTTACGAGCATGCAATGATATTGCATCATCAAAGATTGATTGATAATTAGTGTTTTCTTCAACCAAATTTTCTGGATTGTTAATTTCATATAAAATAAAATTATATTTACAAAATATTTGAATCGAACAATGCTCATTAAAATCGCGTTTTTCAATTCGTTGAATTGCAATTGTAAAACTTTCATTTTTATCATTTAATTTATATTCAAATCCATTGATTGATTTGCTTATTGTGTAAATTGTTTTATAACTTGACATTAGAACCTCATTTGTCAATCTATTTCCATTAGAAAGTGCGCAAATGAATTGTATTTGAGATATTTTATCATCAATTATTTTTACCTCATCAAGAAAATAAGCCTTTCTTTCAGTTAGAATTTCAAAAACAACTTCTTCATCATCTGGAACTTTTTCACATAATTTTATCACATAATTCGGCTTCTTATCAATTCTTGCATTGACTTTTTTGTATTCATAACCGTCATTTTCATCAGGGCACAAATCAATATAAATACTTTTTGAATGCCAATTTTCTGGAATTGGTTTTGAAACACACAATGAAGTGAAATATTTAAAGAAATCTTGTTCAATCATTATAAAGACACCATCATCAGCTATTTCCATTTTTAAGTCTTTTCTCATTTTATCATTCCAAAGACATGAATTATCACTCCAATCTTTGTTCCATTCACCATGGCACCATGGATTTTTTAACTTGAAAAAAACATTGCCATTGTAAGGTATTATGTCTATGATTGAATAAGAATGATTTTTTATCAAACCTGCATCTTCAATTTCATTTTTTGACATTGTTGTCTCACTGAGATGAATGGAGCAATCCATCAGGCATCCTTTCTCCATATAATCAATCAATTGCTGCGATGGTCTTTGTTCTGTATCATTGAGCAATTTGGATATTAATATACTCGTTGGGAAATAACCAGTCAGAGCATACATTGCGTTACAAAAGTTGCCAGAAGCAATGTTTGAATATGAACCATTCAATTTTGCATATGCTTTTTCAATCAAACAAAAACATATCGAATATTTGAGATCAGATGGACGACAAAATACCAATTTTGAAGTTCCTTTGTAAAATGGAAGATACGTGTCAACTACAACAGGAGTTCTTTTCCCATGCGAATATAGACATATTGCTACGCCTCCACATTTAATGTTAATTGAGTTTGCGACTGCTCCAAGAATAACATTTGCTTCTTTTACAAACATTTTTATTACAATCTTTGGATATGATGCTAGTTTCATCATTGCTGCAATAAAATAACAGTCACCTAGTCTTCCTTGAACAGCGCAATCAGAATTAATTAGTTTTTCATCAAACAAAGGACCTTTATAAACTTCATCAATTCTTCTTAATTCTATATCTTCTTTTTTTAGTTTAACTTTTGGTTCCTCTATGTTTTCGAATGGTCGAAAGTCTTTATCAATAAAGACTGTTCCATTTTGTCTATATTCAAGGAGAGATCTGCGAAATTCCAAATATTCATTGATATAATCTTCATGTTTCTTACACAACATGTCATAAAATGAAATAAAGAATTTTACAGATTTGAAATTTTTTTTTTTTTGTCTTATTTTTTAACTGGTCATTTATTAAAAATTTTCAAAAACAATATTCAACTTTTTGAATTACATTCAATACTTCCACTTTTTGTGGGTATTCCATTTTTAAAAATTTCACAAAATATCAATATATATATATATTTGAAAGAAATATTCAAAAATAATACAAATAATAACTTATAATTAGATGTTATTATAAGATAATCAGTAACATCTAATAATTTTTTTTTTCATATTTTAATTATGTATTTTGTATAAAAACTTAATTTATTTAAAAATTTTGAGTGCATCAATTAAATATCTTCTCTGAATATTTTCAGATATTTCTCATATCCATCACTCCACAATCCAGCGTTTTGAGGAGTAAATTCATCAATTTCCACTGAATTTCTGACAGTTTCTCTCATGTTATCGATCATTTCCATTGCCTTGGCCTGCACACAAATGTTTCCGAGAGCTGTTGCCTCCTTTGGACCCGCGAGAACTGGCATTTGTAAAGCGTCGCAAGTTTGACGATTCATGAACTTATTCGCGGAAGCACCGCCGATAACGTTGAGTGCCTCAATATTGAAAGGCGCGAAGTTTTGCAAGTCTTTGTAAACCTGTCTGTATCTCAAAGCAAGACTGTCGTAAATGCAGCGTGTGAATTCGCCAATAGTTGCTGGTTTTGGCTGGCTCGTCATTGAGCAGTACTTTTGAATTGCATCGAGCATGTTCGATGGACTTGCGAAGATCGGCGAATCCGGATTAATGAGGCTTCTAAATGGCTTCACTTCTGATGCTGCCTTTTGAAGATCATCGAAACTTCCACATTTGTCGCCCCAGATTTTTCTGCAGCATTCAATCAGCCACATTCCACAGATGTTCTTCAAAAATCTGATGTTCTTGTTAATTCCGCCTTCATTTGTGAAGTTTTTCTTGTAGCTTTCTTCATTGATGATGGCGTCTTTCACTTCAATTCCCATCAAGGACCACGTTCCAGAGCTGAGGTAGGCGAAGTTTTCGTTCTTGGCTGGAATTGCAGCAATTGCAGATGCTGTGTCATGACCACCGACAGCAAAAACTGGAACTGGACCCAATCCTGTAATATTTTGGACTGTTTTGTTTAATGTGCCGATTTTGTCGCCTGGAAAGACATATCTTCCGAATTGTGATTCTGATAATCCGACTGATTTCAAAAGTTTGTCATCTAATCGTTTGGTTCGTGGATTGAGCATTTGACTTGTTGAAGCAACGGTGTATTCGGTTACCATTTCACCTGTTAACATATATGATATTGCATCTGGAATGAAAAGAATCTTGGAGGCACTTTCAAGTGCAGAACAATGATTCTTTCTTAATGTGTAAAATTGGAATATTGAATTGAAATCAAGAATTTGGATTCCTGTTAAATCATATAATGTTTTCTTTGGCATTTTCTCCTTGAAAAATTTTTCGGGGGCACCAATCTTATGTGGATCTCTGTACGAGTATGGATTACGCAACAAATTGCCATCTTTACCGAAAAATGCAAAATCAACTCCCCATGTATCAACACCGATTGAATTAATTTCGATGCCTGATGATTTGACAGATTTTAATCCTTTAATAACTTCATTATAAAGGTGCAGCATATCCCAATGGTAATGCCCAAATACTTCAACAATTGGATTCGCAAATCGTGTAATTTCTTTGAGCTCAATCTTCCCGTTTGAAAGGGTTCCGAGGATTGTTCTCCCACTAGTAGCTCCTAAATCAACAGCAAAAAAGTTGTTGGAGAGACTCATTTTAATAAAGTGATGTAAAAATCAAAATCTCAGAAAAGTTCGATTCATTCAAAAATCAATTCAATTTTTTGTATAGCCTT